TGCACATATCCGAGTTTCAAGAAAATCTGAGACGGTACCCAGCCATCCCATTTGTTGAGTTGGCACGGAATGACCCCTATTTATATTTGTATATTTGTAATTTATTCATTTGTTTATCTGTTTGCATGTTATTTATGTATTTATTATAATTGACATCAAATAACATTCATATTATGTATTACTGTATATATCGACAATACTCAATCTGGGATTATGCTGAATTAGAAATAGATGCTGACAACGTGAAGGGCCGCTAGCCCCTTCCCTCAAGGGGCAGCCATAATAAATAAAGTTATCATGGAGATAGAGTCATGTTGGAAATATGGTACTTCTGGATGCCTGCAAAATAGAAGCTGGCAAACCTGCCACCACCCATTCCCATGTGGACACAGAATGTGGTAGCATTGACCAAACTAAAATTCGTAGGACTATTTTACATCTTGGGAATAAGATAAATGTTATTAGGTCTACTGCGAATGATATATTGTTCAAGATTTAATTAAGTTGCTTATTTCTCCATGAATAATTAAGTGCAAGAAACACGAATGTTATATATAATGCAAGGAATAACAATGACTATACTATAGTTATATTTACACGACGTGAAGGGTATTGTGAAATATGCAATCAAGTACAAGTACAAGTACAACACTAATGTATATATAATTCAAGGAATAACAATATGCAAATAAATAAACATGTTCTATGAATACACAGGATACAATATGCTTTGAATTAACTTTGGAAATACAGTAGGTCTGTGCCTACACAAATGACGTAGAGTTTCGAGAAACATACTGCTGGAACAAGTTTAATTACATACTTACTTACCAAATTCAATCAATTATTGATCACGCTTTAGATGAGTTGTACTATCACTTGAATTGTCAAAAAAATGTTTTAATTAAATCCTGTGTTTCCCTCTAGTAGACACTCTAATTTTAGTCAATAAATTTATGTCAGATAGACCATGGTACCTCCAAATACAGATCTAACAGGAGATATCCAGCTTTTATTGAAAAAGAGTGGAGGGGCCTAATGTTATTGAATGTGGCTGGTTTTACAGGGATGGGTACAGAGGTTACCGCGGAAACTTTGTTTACCTGGATGCCCAGAAAAAAATATGAAAAAATATGAAAAAAAAAAAAATAATAATAATAAAAATAATAATAATAAATAATAATAATAATTAATAATAATAATTAATAATAATAATAAATAATAATAATAAATAATAATAATAATAATAATAATAATAATAATAATAATAATAATAAAAATAATAATAATAAAAATAATAATAATAAAAATAATAAAAATAATAATAATAATAAATAATAATAATAATAAATAATAATAATAATAAATAATAATAAATAATAATAATAATAATAATAATAATAATAATAATAATAATAATAATAATAATAATAATAATAATGGGATGATGATCCCCGAACCTTCACAAGCGGCCCAGAAGGGAACTCCCTTGGGCAGGGAACTCTGACAATTTAGAGATTTGAAAGGCTTCAAACGAGTCTCACACCATGTAAATTATTTTTTTCCCTCCCAAATTTCGTTGACGGGGGGAGGGGGATGTAGCCACTCAGACTCCACTGGCACCACCACTGATTTGGTCATCAGTGTTTTACTTAACATAACAATATAAATGAACTTTTATCTTGATCATTATGGGTATCGGTATAGGCTTACAGTGCGTTTTACCTTGATGATAAACTGATTGAATTTTTTTTCTGCGTACTGTCATAATACGAATTGACTGGGATTGACTCTTAAACATGGGATTTACTTTCTTCTTGTGTCATTACATATAGATTCAAATCCAGTACAGTGCAGTGGTGGATCCAGGAATTTTTAATTAAGGGGGCCCAGAGAGGGTCTTTCACAGATGGAGGATGTAGACCATCTCAGTCTATATTATATTATATATTATAATGCCAACCGGCT